GCTGATGCCCCGTCTCCGCGCCCGCAGGGGGACCTGGGCCCGTTCGACCCCGGCCTCCCCGTGGACGTGCCGCTGTGGCTGGCCGTCAGCCTGAAGCAGAGGCAGAAGTGTCGCCTGCTGCCGCCGCCCTGGATGGACGTCGGTGAGGACCGGGGTGGCAGGCGGCGGGGCGGGGGCGTGGTGGCGGGCCGGCAGCGGGCACAGACCGTCCGGAGTCCCCTTCGCGGAGCCTGTGCCCTGCAGGTCTTGTTTGGAGCGGTTTCATCTTGCCTTAAACGTAGGAATGTAAAGAAGCAGTTGCTCTCGATGTTTAAAAACGGTGCGGATTAGCGTATTGGGAAGCAGTTTTGTGTATGTGGTATTGGAGATTGAGCCCAGGGCCTTTGCGGTGAATTACATCTCCAGCCTTTTTAGTTTTTTCAGTTTTTAAAATTCTTTATTTTGAAACAGTGCCTCACTAAGTTGTCCAGGCTGCACTGGAACCTGCGATCCTCCTGCCTCAGCCTCCCAAGGTGCTAGGATTGCAGCCCAGCTTCAAAGTAATTCTCTTATAGAGGATGCATAAAAATTGTTACTTGCCAGGTGTGGTGGTGCATACCTGTAATTCCAGCACTTGGGAGGCTGAGGCAGGAGGATCCTTGCAAGTTCAAGCCCAGCCTGAACAGCATAATGAGATCCTGTCTCAGAAAGGCAAAAAAAAAAAAAAAAAAAGTGTCACTCTGTAGTGGAATAGTGTTCAGCCACAAAAAGAAATGTTGTGATATGTGCCGCAACAGTGTGGATTAACCTTGAAAACATCTTGACCACAGGAACACCACACACTGTGTGACTCCATTTGTAGGCACGGTCGGGGATAGGCAGGTCCATGGAGACTGTAGTGATTGCCTGCGTGTGGGAGCTTTAGAGGCCATGCGGGGGATCATGGGGTCCCTTTCTGGGATGGTGGAGATGTTCTAAAATTGAACTGATGGTTGCACACCTCTGTGAATATGCTAACACCCGTTGATTTTTATAGTGTAAACGAATTATGTGGTGCTTTATGTCTCAAAACTGTTAGAAAAAGTAGAAAGAAAAATAATACACCGCACACAGACTTTATCCTGAGCCTTTGCAATCTTTTCTCTTTGTTTTTATTATTTTTTGTTTTTTGCTTTTTGAGATAGGGTCTTGCTGTGGAGTCCAACTCGGCTTTAAACTAAGTAGCCCAGTCTGGCCTTGAGCTTGTGATCCTTCTGCCTCAGCCTCCTGAGTGCTGGGATTGTAGATGACTACAACCGGCTTTGCAGTCTTTTTCTCTGCCTCAGCTGTGAGTGGCTCATTGTAGAAACACTCGTACCTTTATGTTCTTTTTTGTCTGGAGGGCTGTGGGGATGCATGTGGGATAGAAAGAGCCCTGAGTGACTTCGCCTGCCCTTCCCGCCCGGGGTCACTGCCAGCACCTCTCCGATCAGTTTCAGAAAGGCTGCCATGTCCTCAGTCCTGGTCTAAAGGGATGAGTGACCGATGGTCCCGATTCCCCTGCCTTGGCTTTTTTGGTGGGCAGCGTCCCCGGCCTGACTCCATCAGCCATTGCTCCCCAGGACCCACTGCTCACGCATCGTTGGCCCTCGTGATTCGCAGATGCTGCCCGCTTCTGTGCCATGTGCTTATTCCCTGTTCTAGTGTTGGTGGATGTTTAGGTTGCCCGTTTTTGGCTATTCTGAGTACAGCTGTTACGAAGTTCTTACTGAAGGCTTTTTGTGGTCTGTTTTGGTAAATAAATACACTTGCTGGGTCATAGGATGGATGACGCTTAGGGGGCACATCCTGTAATCTCAGCACTGGGAGGCAGAGGCAGGAGGAACCCAAATTTGAGTCCAGGCTGGGCAACTTAGTGCCGCGGCCAGATGCTGTCTCAAAAAAAAAAAAAAAAAAAAAAAAATGAATGGAAGGGGGAATCCCAGGAAAAATCCCGGGGTTTACTTTCCAAACCCCCAAAAAAAAAAAAAAAAAAAAAAAATGGGCCGGGATTGGTGCTCCATGGAAAGTCTTTGGGTTCAGTTCTCAGTACCACCAAAAAAAAAAAAAAAAAAAAAAACCATTATAATCCTGCTAGAAATGTAGGCCAAGCGTTCCTGTTCATGTCCTGGCCCCAAGTTTGGTTTTCTCCAGTCTTTCTGATTTGGGGAGTGTTGAGCAGAGTGTTGCATGACCTAATTCAGGTGGTGAAGAGTCACCCTGGGGCTGGGGGTGTGGCTCAGTGGCACAGTGCTTGCCTGGCACGTGTGAGGCCGTGATCTGCATCCCCAGCACCTGGAAGAGCAAAAATCCTCTGCTGTGTAGAGAGGGTGTGTGGGGGTGAGAATTATCCAGACCACTTGCAGTTGGGCTGGGGAGCTTGGCTGGAGCCTGTTGCGCTGGCCAGGAAGAGGAGCTGTGCTGAGGGGCCGGCCCGCTGCGGCATGAGAAGGTGCGTCTAAAGCCCCTGGGACGGTGCTGGCGGACCTAGGGCACGATGCCGAAGTGGGCTGTTTGTATCACCGAAAGCTCTGAAACGCTTGCCGTCACTGCCCGACGATAGCCTACCGGCCCTGGTGTGCCTGTAGTTTGTTGCCTGCTCTCTTCCCAACCAGGCTTAGTATGGACACGTTCCTCAAGCTACTGATTGTATTGATCACTTATCGCATCAAAGATAAAAAATACTTTGTCCTTTACCTAAAGAAAGAATTTCTGACTCAGGCATATATTTTGCCGTCTACAGTGAAAACTGTCCTTGAGAGAAATGCTCAAGGAGATGGCTTTTTTAAAAAACGCTAGTTCATCACCAAGGTAATATTGGCATTTGGTAAATTCAGAAGGTTTAAAAATTATCTCGGCTGTGGTAACATTGACCGTATGAACTTCGGAATTTCAGAGAAGTTGGAGAAGATGAGGGATCACGAACGAAAGGAGGAAACTTTCACTCCAGCGCCCAGCCCCTACTACATGGAACTCACCAAGCTCCTGCTAACTCAGTGAGTAGAGCTCACTGCTGAGCCCGCGCCTGCGGACAGGCACCGCTCCCTCTTCCACCCCGCCCTCCCTGCCCCCTCCACCTGCCCTCGGATCCGTCCCTGGAGGTCACCTCTAGGCGCACAGTGTTGCTGCCTGTCCCCGCTTCTCTCTGTTGTTTCTCTGGCTCTTTCACTTTTCCTTCACTCCCCAGCCATCCCCTGGTTCTTTTTTGTCTGTTGGGCCCGCCTTGGTGCTGGGCACGGACAGGGTGAGCCACCCGCATCCCCACCGGGCACCTTCCTCAATGACCCGCAGTTACTTAGTGCAGTGTGGCCCCTTTGTTTTCCCTTAGGAGTGTGTAGATCTGGGGGTTTTTTGTTTGTTTTTTTGAGACCACATCTTACTGTGTGTTCCAGGTGGGTCTTACTGTGTAACCCACACTGGCCTCAAATTCTTGCTGATCCTGCTGCCTCAGCTTCCCTCGTGCTGGGATCGCAGGCGTGCACCACCATACCCAGCAGATCCTGAGTTCTTCATGTGTCTTTTGCAAAGAGGGGCAGAGGGCTGACATTGGCCTGAGCCATTGGGAAAGCCTCTCAGGCTGGGACTGCAGTAATCCCGCAAGTCGTCTGCCTGCACCCGTAGCGGTTGCCCTTCATGTGGTAGCTAGAGTGGTCTGCTAAGGGCAGTGCTGCTGTGTGATGCCCTGGCTGAAGTCTTGGAGCTTTTAGGCTTCTGGCTGGCATGCAAAGCGGTGCACAGCCTGGAGTGTTTCTTTCCCATGTCACAGCTCTCTGTAGTGATTCTCTCCACGTCTGCTGCAGGTTCCAGGCACTTATAGTGGTCTTATTTCTGCACAATTGTTTTTTCTTTGATTTTTGTTTTGAGACAGGTTCTTGCTGTGTTGCTCATGCTGGCCTTGAACTGGGCTCAGGTGACCCTCCTGCCTCCGCCTCTTGAGGTGCACAGCACCATGCCTGCCTTGGCCGCTTCTTTACCATGCTGGGTCCTGTGACCTTACACTTACTGCCATGAGCCCGTCTCCTGCTCCCAGTCACCTTCTTTGCTTCATGTGAGAAGTCTCAGCAGGTGTCTCCCTCGGCTGAAGTGCATGAACTGTCTTACAGCTTTGCACGCCACCACTGTCTGCCATAGTTGTAGTTTTCTAATCCTTTTCTGTGTCATTACATACACGCATGCACATACACGCACACGCACACACCTCTGTTCGGCAGGGGCAGGGGCAGGGACTGTGTCTCAAATGCCATGTCTCCAGCACAGTACCTAGTATGCATGTTTGTTGAATGAATGTGTGAAATTTGTAGCGGACCAGCAAGTGTGGAGAGTTCTGCCTGGGAGTTACTTGGAGTATAACTTGTGAAATGTCAAGCTCTTACTGGGACCGGTGGTGCATGCCTGTAATCCCAGCACTCAGGAGGCTGAGGCAGGAGGATCGTTGTGTGTTTGAGACCAGCCTGGGCTACAAAGTGAGCTCAAGGCCAGCCTGAAGTGTATAGCGAGACCCTGTCTCAAAAAGACAAAAAAAAAAAAAAGAAAAAAACTGAAGCCCTTGAAGCTCACTGAATATCTGGTTGCTGAGCTTCACAGAGCCAGAACTGAAAACGGGGACTGTACTGTGCACTGCCTGCATAGATGGGTGGAGGGGTGAGGGCCCTGGATGCCCAGCCAGCATGGAGGAACTTCGGGACCTCTCACAGCCTGGTCGGTAGCTCAGTGGGTGGCTGCACTTCCCCTCGTCCTGGGAGAGCGCCTGAGAAGCAGCAGTACACTGAGCATTGCGCCGTGGGCTGGAGCTCCTGGTCTGGGGCGACGCGATCCCATCCTTAGGCCACAGCGTGGTCAGTGCTGCGAGTCCGTCTGGCCAGCAGGCACGGCTCACAAGCAGCTCTCGGGGGGTGCGGGCTCTGGAGGGAGGCAGTGAGACACAGCCCGGGGGGCGTGGTGTGCCCGGGAATACAGCAGGAGCAGCAGGCGCAGGAGAGCAGAGGGGAGGGGTGCCTTCGGAGGGGTCAGACTACCGTGGCCGCGGGGCCGGGGGCCGTGGCTGCGAAGGGGGAGGGAGAGGCTAAAAGCGCAGACCGGGGACGAGCTGGCCTTATCCAGTGGAGGCCTGTCCAGGGTTAGTTTTTGAAGTTCAGTACTTGTGCACTTGATGTCAGAAGCCATGTTCTGTAATTCATTTGACTGAGGGACCTAATTTTACCTTTGTTCTCCTGTTCAGCTGACAAGTCCTGGGCTCCTTTGTTCTTCAGCCTGCTGTTCACTACATAAATTTTATACCACAGATCCGCCACCTACCCGTCCAGAGTTAATTACTGCATGTGGAGAGAAAGAATCCCTAGCTTAGTGCCTAGTGACGGGCAGTGTTTGCTTCTGCTTTTATTCCTGGTGCCTCTCTCTTCAAAGGTTGGTCTGAAAGACCTCAAAAAGGAGAGCCGTTACTGCCCTCCTGACTTTAAACTTCTACTCAGAATTTTTTGTTGTGTAGATATGTATTATTTCACACTGATTTGTGTGAGCTGTAATTTCTTCTGTGGTTTTTGTAACTTGTTCTTTGTATTACTAGGGATTGGGCCCCAGGCCTTCACACTGGGCTACGTGCCCAGCCCTCTGTATGTTTTGCGACAGGGTCTCACTCAGTTGCCCAGGATGGACTTGAACTTGTGCCCTGGTCGCAGCCTCCCAGAGTGCTGGGCTTGCAGCTGTGCGCCCTGTCCTCCGCCTGTAACTGTTCTCTGTGTGGAGGGGGGCGGTCCCTGTCCCTCGGCTGTCAGTGGGATGGAAATGCTGTGCTGAGTGGGAGCAGGGAGCCGAAGGCTTCCTTTCCTAGTGGGTTTTGAGCCTGGATTCCTGGTAAGGAGTGGAGGTCTCATCACTGTAAGTAAGGAGTAGTAGGAGTTACGACCTCTGAGCCGGCCCTTGAAGCCACTTCTGGCTGGAAGTTCTGACCGACACAGTGCTGTTACCCTTGGAGGGAAGCTGTCAGACTTGGAGCCAGTTTCCCGGCATCTCACTCTGGACTGACCGCGAGGCCTGTGCAGCAGCCAGCTGTGCGACAGCGTGAGCAGGAGTAGCTCAGAGCTCCGCACCGCTGCGGGCCGCTGGCCGCGGGCTGACCGGCAGAAACCCTCCCGTCTTAGCGCTGAAGACAGAAGCCAAACCTCTCCTGAGATCTTGATTTTTCTTTTTAAGAAATCTCTCTGTCTGGTGTTGCCTTAGTTTACCGTGTCCTTATCTGATTCACCCCTTTTCTTCTAGCGCGTCAGACAACATCCCCAAAGCAGATGCGATCCGGACCCTGATCAAAGATCTGTGGGACACGCGCATGGCCAAGCTGCGGGTGTCCGCCGACAGCTTTGTGCGGCAGCAGGAGGCACACGCCAAGGTAGGCGTGGCGCCGTGGGGCTGCGGTGCTGCCGGGGCACCCTGCCTGTCCGGGATACTGCGAGCAGGGTGAGGAGAGCTGTGCTTTTTTGGGGGGTACCAGGAATCAATCTTACGACCTCAGGCTTGCCAGGCAAGCGCTGATGCCGCTGAGCTGCGTCCCCTGCCCGAGCTGTGCTTTTAAAGGTTATGGCGGGGTGGTGGAGCTCAGCCGTAGAGCACTTGGCCCAGCACTGCCACCACAACAAAAAAACATTGGCTTCTTATTTTTATCCAGCAAAGTTTAGCTCTTTCTCAAAATCAAAAGCGCCTTGGCCAACTGGTCTGTCTTGTTTCAGCTGGATAACTTGACCTTGATGGAGATCAACACCAGCGGGGCCTTCCTCACAGAGGCGCTCCGCCACATGTACAAGCTGCGCACCAACCTCCAGCCTTCCGAGAGCGCCGCGTCGCAGGACTTCTAGAGGAGAGCCGGTGCTTGTGGAGCCACAGGGCCTCCCCCTGCTGCCAGGAGGCTTGCTGGGCGCTGTGAGTGCGTGCTGCGGACGTGACAGAGGGACTCACGGTTCTAGAGTTCAGGTCAGGACACATTTTTGAACACGTGAAAAAGGTATGATGATTCCAGGAGTGAATTTAACAAACAGGTGAGAGAGCAACGAGCTTGTGATTGATCAGTCTGCGAACAGGGCTCCCCTGGACTCAGTCACCATCCCGTTCTGGGAGCCAGCTCTTCTCCTGTGGGGTAAGGAAGAAGCTTTAGGCAAGCGAGTTGTTCCTCCTAGCAGACGTGGGCCTCCGCTGTGAGAATGCCATGCTCAGCTGTGTGCCTGGCGACCGGTGGATGCACAGGGACGGTGATGTGGCCGGGGGCATTTGCATTTCTCGATCTTGGTTTCTTGGCTAAAGTTAGAACCTCTTGTAGACACGGCTCACACAGAACAGTGGCCGATGAAGGCTGGTAATGCTGACCGTGTTCGCCGTCCAGGTCTCAATCCACAATAAAGATGTGCTCAGCTTGAGTCTGTCGGATTTCTCTGTCCTGCGCAACCAGCAAGTGAAAGGACTGTGCTCTGTGGCCAAGACCTGACAAGCTAAACCAGTAGTCGTGTGGCAGTCAGCTGAGAACTGCGGATCCGCGTTCGGGGTCGGTGGTCAGCCTTGTGTTCTTTATCAAGAGGATGGTCGGGAGAAAGCTAACGGGCGTGAGGAAGGCAAGATGCAATGCTAGGAAGACTTCTTGACGGATCGGGGGAGGTGCTCTTTGTTGTAAACAGCGGCTCAAGGGAAATTATTTCATTCTCCAAGAGAAAATTGCTCCAATTACTCAATTGTAACAGGGTGGGATTCTCAGGTCCCTTACAGAAATTACCTTGAGAGGAAGTGATTATCGTACAGTACCAGAGCGAGCAGAAGGTTCTGTCACCAGTCTGTTTTTGACTTAGCCCCAGTGTCAGAAGTTACGGTGACTTATCTTGGGAGCTGTGTGTGCACACGTGCGGTCCACCCCGTGTACAGCGTTGTCTGTCATTTGCCCACAAACGGCCTGAACCACTATGTGCTCCGGCTGCTGTCCCATCTCCGTCAGGCAGGTGCCGATCACTGTTTGAACACCAGAGGGCCATGTCCAGAGGGTTACGACCGGAAGATGGAGTCTCTGGAATTTAAGGTGCTGTTCAGCGGGCTGCAGGTGACAGGACTTGCCTTTCACCTGCCTACTCTGAATCCTTCAGATTGCATCTGGGCATCTGTAGAATGAAAGCACTTTTAACAGGGAGGGTTGGGACCGTGTGCCTCACATCTCATCTGTGATACTTTGCTCTTAAAACCTGAGCCAGCAAGGTGCAGCTGAATGTCATTTCACCGGTGGTGCAGTGTGCTTAACCTTGTGTGTGGGGGTATTGTAACATAAACAAGACTTCCCTCTTAACGTGATTTAGGAAGATTTTATTTTTTGGATGTTGTCAGAAATTACAGCAATATATTCATAAATACCTAATTACTACATTCAACAAATAATATTACAATACAGTTAATTCAAACAAGTACACTTAGAACAGGTTTAATTTCACAGCATCTAAACTGCCCCCAGAGTGACCGAGGCACTGCTATCCTCCCTGCCCCCCGAGTCTGGGTTTGCCGTCCTAGCAGTGAAGCACAGGGCGCACACGAGTGACACAACCAGTGAGCGTGTCTTCCTCAGGTCAAGGCAGAGTCTAGGAGTTTAAGCACTGGATCAGAAGGTTGGGGACAGGCTACAGAAGGCGTGAAGTCAAAGCTTGTTACTGGGAAGAGTACAGATTGCTGCTAAGGGGCTAATATACACTTACGGAGGGCCAGGGTTTGTGCTAACCATCTCCATCTTGCGGTGGATCCGTGGAATTGTCTGAGAGGGAAAAGGGTCTGGTTTAAATTCAGTGTAACCTTTGAGATTTGGTAGGACCGTGAGCTACTTGGAAGATTTCATTCTGCTACAAGCTTAAGATTTCCTGTGTTGTAGTTCTTTGCTGCTGAAGATGCAGGCTCCTTTTTAATATTCTGAATATCCTTAGGGGGGCAATCTGTTAAAATGTTAGTGCCAATTAAGTGTTTTACCCACGTAAGGCTAGGATATAGACTGAAAACTTGAAAACCCTGTCGTGGTTATTTTATTGTATCTTGTCATTCTGGCTCTGATTATCTGAAACAGAGCAACTTGTCTTAAAGAGGTGATTAAACGTGGAACCACACCATCTAGCACCTGGCTGTGTCCCTCGCGAGCTTATGACTGCCCCGTCAGGCCAGGTGGCAGCTGTCACTTGCGGGTCATGTGGGAAGACACAGTGGAGAAGGACTGAGGTGTTCGTGTAAATACTGACACACAGGTTGCGTAATCCATTCTAGGGCAAGTCTGATGTACTGTTTTAAGTGTCTTAAACTGAACGAGCAAAAGCTGAACAAAAAGCTTCAAGAGGTTGTGTTTGTCAACTGAAAACGTGTAATGTGTTCTCTGAAAACTAATTGTTGGATGGGAAAATCATTGTAGACTGTCTTGGTGGCGTACTTTGTGAAAGAGACACTACCTCTTTCATGGTTTGTGCGCTGCCTTGCTGGTCTGTACTCAGGTTCTGATTGTCATCCATCTACTCCTTGGGTACAAGAATATTCACACCTCTCCACGGCGGGAGCATGGGTAGGCAGGACAGCAGAGAAGCTCAAGGGCAAGCAGTTATTGCTGGCGCAGGGGCTTGGCTTGCACCCCGGCAGCCCTTTCTGAGGGTGCACCCTTGTTCTGTGTGCCACCCCAAGCTGTCCAACCAAGGGGTCACGCCTTGGCTCTGGGGAGGGACTGCCTGTCTCTCCAGTAAGTTATTAGAGCCCCTTTTTCTTTAGCCAGGGCCATTACCGAAGCTGGCTAGCAGATGCGTCAGACATCCCCTGTGATGTGGGAGGCGGCCTGGGCATGAAGTGCTAGGCGCGGCTCTGAAGCCCTCACCCCGCCAACAGCGAGACTGTGAGCAGGGACGTGAGTGTTACTCTGCCCCGATGGGTCGGTGCGGTGCCCTCTCCACGCCTGTGGAACCCATGGCTCTCCTAATGTCTCTGCAGGGGATAAGGCCCCAGCACAGCCTTTTGGTTTTTTTTTACTTGCTTCCTGGGTGAGAAGGCGCTTACTGACGGGCGGCACTTTCTGTGTGAGTTTGCTAATAACTGGAAGGTTCTTGGCAGGCGTACAAAGCAAACTGTGTGGGGGCAGGTAAGCGACACGGTGCCAGCTGCCAGCAAGCCACTCCGCACGGCAAGGGTGGGAGCTCGGAGCGTGGAGCACAGCAGCAAGAATCCTCCCTGGCTCCGCCCTGCCCTGCCCTGGGTCTCTGGGGAGGGCCCAGCCCCACAAGAGGAGCCTTGCTGACCTACATGAAACACTGCCTGACAAGAAGAACCTGGGCTGAGGCGGCGGCCCAGTGCGACCCCAGTGCTCGCCAGTGGTGCGGCCATTCCGTGCCTGTCCCAGTGGGGGTCAAAGGCGGCATTCAGCTCAGACATCGTTGATCCTACCGGAGGCTTTTACAAAGCTCTGCATCTAAATAAAGCTGCTAAGTTTCTACTCTGCACCTGTTCTCAGGCATCTCAGCATTTTATCGCAGAAGTGTGCACTTCCTACAAGGTTCTTTCAGGAAGCCCCGGGGCGGTGTGTGCGCGTGGCCGGCACACAGGACCGTCTCGCTCCCGCCACACACGGCCCCTCGCTTCGCAGCAGTGGTCTGTTTGCTGTTGCCTTGTCCAGTGTGGGGAGGGGCACGGGAGGAGGTAAAGAAGTAACGCATGGCTTTCTAGTCAGTTTCTGGTGCAACTCAGACTAAAAACGAAGTGATCGCATAGGCGCCAGTGGTAAGCTCTTTTACTTTCCTTCTTCTTTAATTTTTAAAAACTTCAATATTTTAATGTCCTGACCAGCAGCAGTACAAACACTAAAAGCAAGGGTTTTTTCTTTTCCCAGGAAAAACAAAGAAAACCCCCAAACAGGAAAAACAAACAAAAATCCCCCAAACCACATATTAAAAATGGCAGGCTTTTTATAACAATTAAAAGTAATAAAAACATACAAAACTTTGTTTTTTAATATATATACACAGTACAAGGCTGAAGCACCTTTGACTTTTCTCTCGAAATTTACGTTTGTATGAAAACACCCCCCCACTGCAGTAACAATTAGGTGGGTGCGAGGACGTATACATAGGGCTGTACATTCTCCCCCACGTAGTAGTAAAAAGGTACCTTCAGTCTGTGGGTTTGTTTCATCTTTAGGTAAGAGCTTTTCCAGGGAAAAGCCTTGGATTGCTCTGTGTGCTCCTAGGACTGGTTGTTTTAAAGATAATTTTGCAGAAAAGTAACTGAAAAAAAAAAAATAAGCCCTTTACTTCCAATGCACCCAGCCTTCTTTTCAGCTGGAGCCGGCCGTGCTCCTGGGCAGAAATGAGGCCAACGCTGCAGCTGCAGCAGGGGCAGACCTGGTGCTTGGGCACAGCGGCACGGCAACACGAGAAACAGGACTGGCCGGCCAGAGCCGCGCCCACGCACCAGGGCGACAGGCGATACTGCTGTAGTGTCGGCAATGGAGCCTCCGCTTTCAGATTGAAAGAATGATGTGGGGGAAGGGAACAGTTAGCCACCTTTAGGAAAACCATGGGCGTCCTACACTGGCTGCTCGCTGAGTGGCAAAGGTGATCGATTGCATTGAAGTAGACTTGAGTTCATTCGTTTGCTTTTTTCTGGAGCCTGGAATCCTTTGCTTCATGCATGGCACATTCTCATTTTTTAAGCTTCAAACCTCCCGGTGAAAAATATTAAATATTCAAGGTAATAAAATAGATAATATTTCTATACTATAGGTTCAGCCTAGTGCAAGGGAAACCGTCACCTCGGGTATCCCTTGAAGTAACCCCTAGGCCAATGCGTCGCAGGCAGGGCAAGGCACTTCCGCAAGTGGTCCAGTTCTGCCTGGAGCCGCTCCCGTTCAGAGACCATCTTCTGCTTCTGGCTTCGTAACTCCTGCGGGGAGGGAAGCTCACGTCAGAGAAAAGCACGCCGCGCGGCGCGGTACGCGAACACGCCGGCTGCTGTGTGGGAAGGTCACCGTGGCACTCTGAAAACATCCCCTTCCCAGCCTGGCGTGCGCAGGGGCCAGGGGTGATTTGAACTGGTTCTTTCTGAGTCCTGGACTCCGGCGATCCCAGCTCTTAAAGTACGAGAGCACTGTGGCACCAGCTCAGAGCCCAAGTTCTCGAAGGGTGTTCCGTGCCCTGCCCACACCCCTGCCACTGGAGGCCTAGCGGTGGAAGACACTGCTGGGCTGCAGGAGGGGCTGTGCCGCCTCCAGAGCTTTCCATCTCCAAAACAACCCCTCCTGAGCCTGTCGTGGAAGGAGAGACGGGCAATGAGGAATTCCCCAAAGGGAAAGAAAGGATCAGTATTGCACAAGAATCTTACATAATCAGCTGACACCTGAATCCCCCCAAGACTATGAAAGCGTCCCTCAAACATAGCTGCACAGCTGTTGGATCCCATGTGTCAGGCCCTGTCCCCTGCTCACCGCCATGCTGTGGGAGAGCTGCTCTGCCGTCAGACTGAGGCTGTAGTGCTGGGCCTCCAGCCGCCGGCACTGGGTCTGTAACACCTGCCGCTCCAGGTTTTGCTCTGAAAGGAAAGGTGGTGGGCTCTCACCTCTGTACGGTGACTGTGCCTCCCAGCCCTGCAGTGCCCACCGTGCCCCGCCCTGTGATTTCTTTTTGGTTTTCTGAGACGATCTTACGGGCATGTGCCCCCGCCTCCAGCCTGCAGCCCTCTTATTTGTACCAATAAACGCCTGAGCGCTACTAACTGAACCTAACCCAACAGAACGATGACAGATCTTGAATCAGGTGGTTCAAGAGATACAGACTAGAAAGCAAGTTTACAGCCTTAAAATAGATCTTTCCATATGCAAGATAAAGTCAGGCTTTCAGCTGAAGCTGCTAAAAGACCAGGGTAAACTTGGGAACTGAGTCATCAAATCTCCGCCTCACCAAAGATGCCAGTTCCACTTTTGGTAGGAGCGGGACTTTAAACCTTCAGGGATGAACCCCTGTACAGAGGCTTTCAGAATGACAGCAAAACAAAGTACCACAGGGTTAAGAGTTTACTGAAGCTTAGCCTAAAGTCCAGCAAAACACTAGTACATCAGATTCAACGGGGTTGGAGCAACATCAGGAAAAAAAAGAACTTGGCCAGTAACAACAGGTATGGAAAATTCACTGAACTTTTAACAGATCATACACCATAAACTGAGATAAACTTGGCAAATAAAATCCTTGTTTTTAAAGTAGACTGCCTCTTAAAACTTCACAGGAACGAGCCCCACAGATGCCTCTGTTCCACACCAGTAGAGGTCCTGGGCAATGCTGTATGACAAAATTTGCAGTACGAAATTTCAAAAAGAAATAACACCTTTTAAATTTGCAGCTCTGATCATCCATGATTCCTACCTGGGGCATCTAAGTTTCCCAAACCTAGTGAAAGGAAACTTCTTAATACAGTGCTATGCTATAATCAAAGACAGATACGATTCCTCCCGGGTCTATAAATCTAATGCAACTGAAAATCAAAGGAAGATTCTTTTCTTTTCAGTACTGGGGTTGGAGCCCAGGGCATCGTTCCTGCTAGCTAAGTGCGCTATCACTGATACATGCTCAGCCTGACCTTGAACTTGTGATTCCCCGCCTCAGCCTCCGGGTGGCTGAGATCAGAGGTGAGCACAGTCATGGCCGGCTCTAATAGGATTTTTCTTTCAGAGCTTAATATAGTAAAATGCTTCCGAGATTCAAGGTAGAAGGCCAGGGGCCAAGAAGAGCTCAGTTAGATCACAGGAGGATAACCCAGGGGCAAGTCACTGCAGAGAGTGGGGAGGCCGTGGAGGCTGCGCACCCCCGGGAGAGGCCTCTGGGCCCCGGAGTTGTGTTCTGTCACCCTCCACATACACGATTTGCAGGCATGGTGAATAGTAAGAAAAGGAAAACTTCAGACCGGAGAAAGGAAATACAGAAAAATACCCTTACAACCTTGGTGCAGGGAAAGAATTTCAAACCAGGTCCCTCAAGCCCAGAAAAGATGCATCTATTCCATTGCAGATTCAATCTGACGTACTGCTGTTGCTCCTGAGTACGTACATATGCACCCCAAGAACAACAGTCATTCCAAGTCCTCTGAAAGGAATTTTTGAAACGCAAGTACACAGCAGCAGAACACATGCCCAATGCCAAGGGCAGGTGACTAGATGCTGTCCTTTTTTCAATTTCCTGAGCACCACTCCCGTACAGTGCAGCAACACATGCGATACAATGAGTAAAAATGAGGCAGCGGCAGCAGCCACGCCGGCGGGCGCTAGCAGGCACCTGCCTGTTTTGTCAGAGTGGTGCCCGCAGGGCTAAGAGCTGTGGGCCACTCTGCTCCACCAAGGGGTTTTGCGGACATCCTGAGAAACCAAGGCAGAGTGCACCCTGACATCCGAACTCTGGTGGTGCCCGGCTCTCAGACCGGCGCAGCGCCAGCTGCCCGGAGAAGGCAGCCGTCCTGAAGTGAGCTGCAGCGTGGGGTTAGCGTTCAGATGCGACTGGCACTCATGGAGCAGCCTTTCGGGGACAGCAGCCCAGAGAGCAGGACCCGTGTCTGGGCCACCACGCGCACAGGGGCCACGCGGCTGGTGTTACCGACTGAGCATCCCTGGGTGGGCACGCAGGTCAGTGGCAGACTGTGTGCCTAGCAGGCGTAAACATCCCCAGCCCCTCCCCAGGGACACCTGTCTAGGGCCTGGGCAGGTGACACGTTCACTCCGTGAAGCTTGTACCTAGCTGTGCCCTGGAACGTGCAGCACTAGCACACACAACAGCTGTAGGCTGGCCACAGTCCCACGCGGGCATCTGTGGCTGAGAGCTTCCTTCCCAAGCTTACTCCGTCCCCTCTCATCCGCCTGCCCCACCGCGTACCTTCTATGTGTTCCTGGTAAGCTTCAAAAATGGCCTCAATCCCTTGCCACTTGCGCCTGGGAACTTCCTCTTCCTCTTCACCATCCTCCTCCTCCTCCTCCTCGTCGTCCTCTTCTGAGTCCGTGTCCCTCTCCTGTGTGTGGGGACCCTTCCTCCCAGCTAGGGGCTCCTGCTGCCCATTAAGCTGGGGCGGGGGGACCCGGCTGGATGACTGCAGCTCAGGAATGTTGTAGTGGACAGACGCATCGACCTTGTGGTTCTGCTCTGCAGACAGCACAGCTACACTCCCTGGGGAGAAAAGGACGTCCACAAGGTGAGGCTCTCCAAAGGGGGCTCTCCCCTGCCTTCTGTGCAGAGTCCTTGGATCTGCAGGGCTCCAGGCAGGCCGGAAGATAAACCACAGACAGAGGTCTCCGCCCCAGCCCTCTGGGCACAAGATGACCAAGGGTGGAAGAGCTGTGGAGCGGCGGCTGGCCTGAGTGCCACTCAGGGCACACGTGTGACCCTGGCCAAGTCCCCCTCCGGTTTGAATTTCTTTGTGGTATTGGGTGTGGGCAGCATGCGCACTCAGGCCATGCAGCCACCTCTGCATGACGAAGGGCCGGGTGTTTCAGTCCCCGAGCCCTCCACAGCTCGGCTGTGGCCTGTCTCTACAGTCTACGCTGGTTTGCACCTCAGTCCTGCTGGTAGCTGCCTCCCTGTGCAGATGAGTCTGAACGGATTCATCTGTGCTGACAGTGCTGACTTACAAAGACCCGGCTCACAGGATCAGAGCTCTGTATCTGAAAACGCTTGCTGGCCTGGCAGAGTGGCACAGGACTCTAATCCCAGTATCCTGGGAGGCTGCGGTAGGAGGACTGCAAGTCCACACCGAGCCCAAGCAACTTGGTCTCAAAACCTAGCCTCAGCAACCTATCTCCAAAAATAGAAGAGCTAGGGATGCAGCTCAGTGCAAAGGCCCTGGGGGTTCAATTCCCTAGTACTGCATAAGCACAGATAAAAATGACTCCTTCCCATTAATCTTGCTTTAATGGTTTGGAGTAGTAAATACGGTTTCAGCACCACGACCGAGTTTTCTTCAGCCATCAGAACTTCTTCTCCCACTGTTATTCTTAAGAATTTCCCTTCTCATCAGTTTCAGATTCACTGGGAATAAAATGTGGTAATTCCCATTCTGACCCCAGTGACTCCCACCCGGATGTCACCGACGCATCCAGAGCCTCGCATGTGGGGCCAGGGCCACGCTCTGTAGACCTGCACTCGCCGGGCCGCATGGAGCGGCTCTCCCTGTGCTGCCACGGGGCCGGAGAAGTCCGCTGCGAGTGCTGCGGTGGGAGCTAGGAACACCACTGTCCTGTAGGGTGCACAGGGCTTCTGGCCAACAAGCCACCTCACTGGCCTTCCTAAACTCAGACAGCATCGTGTGCTGAACGTCCTAGGGTGGGGTCCACAGGCCAGGGCCGGGGCCCCCCAAGAGCTCCCCAGCCGCCTCGTGGGCACTGAAGTCTGAGGCGCCATCACCGCTCCACAGGGAGGCTGGCAGAGCCCACGGCAGTGCTCAGCAGCTGCTGGTGCACGGGAACATTAGCCGGCTGCTAACGTGGGCCGGGCAGCCTCATTACCTTTATGCTTCTGCAGGGCCTTCTGGGTGGACTGCAGCACTGACTCGTGGAACTGATGTGCAAACTCTTCTGCCACGAAGGGCTCCCACGGCTTGCTCTTCCCGTTGATGCTGTGGGACAACGGCACAGGAATGTCCTTGGGCGCAGAGCCCCGGATGTAATGAAGCATGCTCAGGCTCTTCTTGCCCCCAGGGGCCTCGCTCAGCCTGGCCTTCTCACCGCTGGTAGGAGCTGGCTCCTGCGTTCTCGATAGTTCCTGGGGCCTGAGCTGTTCCAGTCTCCCAGTCTCCATGGCTTTTGGGACATCAGACAAGGACGCAGCAATACCGATAGGCTTTTCTGTTTCCAGAAAAGCTGGCTGCGCGGCCGGTTCTTTGAGAGACAGAAAGTGGGAAAACGTTAAGGGCTGCAAATTATTATTATTATTGGATTCTTTTTTTGAGACAGGGTCTTGCTTTTTATAGTTCAGGCTGGCCTTGAACTCACTATGTAGCCCAGGCTGGCCTGGAACTCACAGCGATCCTCCTCAGGCTCCGGAGTGCTGGGATTACAGGTGTGCGCCACCATGCCAAGCTGCAAGAGCTGTAAATGAACAGGTAGGTGCCCAGCGCTTGGACCCCAGCCTCTAACAGCTTACATGTAACAAAGACCTAGTACAAAGAACCAAGACTTGGGCACGTGAACCACTGCATGTGGCTAGGATCTGAAGAGGTGGCATTTTTAGTAGCAAGTCCATCCTGGAGCAGTGCCTGGAGAGGTTTCTGGGAAGAGGGCAGATGCAAGAAACAAGGTGCCTCTAGTCACCACTCGGCAAGGCGGCGTTTAGCCCAGCTGGCTGAGAAAGCGCACAGGAACAAGCTAAGGGGGGTGGGCTGGAAGGAGGCCCTGCTCACTCCAGCAGGCAGAGAGGTGTGCTCGGACGTGAGGAGAGGTGGAAGCAGGTGCTGGCAAGGCCAGGAAGGCAGGCAGAGCAAGACAGCCCGGGTGGGCAGGCGGGGCGGGCGGGCAGGTGGGGCCGCAGCTCGTCCTCCTGCCGTGTGCAGCACTTCAGGGGTCAGGTCCCCTCCCATTGGCTTTGGAATGAGGCTCTGAGGGTCGATGGCTAAGACCATGCAGCCCACCAGGCGGCTCTGTGAAGCTGGCCCCCTCCCGAGCTCTGCCAGTTGCATCCCGAGGAGCGGTGTGATGCGTGGCAGCTACAAGAGGGATGGAGAGAAACGTCGCCTGCAGCAGGTCAGGTCCAGGATGAAGACGACCTTGAGCACCACCTCCGACCCTGGGCAGTGGCGGGTGGGGCTGTCCTTCCCTTACCGCTCAGGGAGATGGCGGGACTGTCCCTCGGAGAGTTTGTCAGCGAATCTGCCACTGCTGCCGACAGTGTTCTCTGCTTTGCGGCACGGAGCATTTCAACAAGTCTCTCGTTGTCTGTGAGAAAAGCAGCCTGGTTAACGAGGCCTGGCGCCATTGCCGAGAGGGAGGGCGGGAGCCTGGCCCGCCGGGACGGGCAGGTGCAAGCCCGTTAAACCAAGATCAAAAAGCAAGTGCCACGGGGCAGGCCATGGCGACGGAAAAGGCCTTTGAGCTAAAGCGGGGCCAGCCTCCTCTCAGCTTCCACCGCACGTGCCAGATGTATTCCGAACAGCTGTGCGTGCCACGCGCAGGGCTCTGGGAGCAACTGATGCCTGTGGTCTTTCTGTTAACTTCTGAGGAAGTGCTCATTTACAAGACAAAAGAGGTGGCCCCCACGCAAGGAGATGCCCAAAGACTGCGCAGGCCTCTGGAGTATAGCGCCACCGCCCGCCACTACTCCCGGAGCTTGAACACAGACCCCAGGGCGGTCCATGCTGTGGATTCCTGTTTCGGTTACGTTTCTTGCCAGTTCTGAAACTGAAGAGGCCACAGTGCCGATGGCTTCCTCTAGAAATTCAGTCAGGTGAAAAGACGGTTTGCAAAAAAAAAAAAAAAAAGAAAAAAACCCCTAGGCACATTTCCAGGGATTTGTGCTGGCAAAAACCCTGCCACTACCCCTTAAAGGGAAAGCAAGGGCTCCAGCTGGTTAAGTGGAAAAGCTGCTGCCACTCCCCAATAAACATGTTGGAGCAACTCAAGGCCCAAGAGATACTCTTTGCTTTCCTTTGACTTTCTTCCAGAGAGGACGCCAAGTGTCTGCAAGGGGACTCTGAGACATGTAGGGAGCACGGCCAGGAGCGTCAGCGTCTCGGCACCAAGCCAGCACGTCAGGAAGACCAAGGCCGTGGAAGCCCTTGGAAGGTTCCACGGCTACACCACTCCTGCTGTGCGGTAGATCTCGGCCCGGAGGACCCTCCCCTGTCACTGTCAACACTGCCTTGGGTGAGCAGACCAATCTGGGAGCATCTTTACCAGTGGCAGGCCATCTGCTCCGTGTGCTGGCCATGCCAAATAGCGACAGGCCACCCCTGCAATTCCCTCCCCGGGCTTCCTGCCACAGAACACAAAGCCCAGCCTGCCGTGCTGAGGACCACCCAGAGTTCAAGCCTGCAGCATGCAAACCCGGAACCCGGGGGGAGGGCTGCACCTCCCTCACTCCCGGGTGCAGCCACCAGCACACTCTGCGCAGGGCCCCGCCTGCTCAGGCACAAGCTGGACAAGTGACCGGGGCAGCTGTCTGCTCAGCGCAGGCTGCACATGCACGAGGACCCGAGCCTTCATGGCCGCTCACGCCAAGAGCAAACAGACCTCGAGCGCGCGTAGGGGACCACAGCGAAGCGTGAGGTGCACCGTGGGGCGGGCCCGCGGCGCAGAGGCTGCTGCACAAGCACACGCCCGCGGAGCCCCGCGTCCTGCCGCACAGGCTGGGTGAAGCCGTACCTTTCCTCTTCTCCGCGCTGATGTGCGTCAGGTTGAAGATGGTCAGGAACTTCCTCTTCTCCTCGAAGTTGGGGCTGTTGTTCATCTCGTCGGGGCTGTAGCGGGTGGACAGGGCCAGTCTCGGTGAAGGCACCTGCCTCTTACTCTGAACTGCCGGTGGGGACGGGCTTCTCTCCTTCAGCATCCGCCGACGCTTCCTCCGCTTCTGGGCCACCAGCTCCTCCTTCTGCTGTTGGGTGGTCAAGCCAAAAAGTTGCAAAAACTCTAGCTTCTAGATCGGGAAAGAAAACAAATGAGTTTGAAACCACCGGCAGTGGTTCCCTTTCACTGTCCTCAGGTCCCCTTCCGGGGCCCTTGCGGTCCACGCCATGGCTGACTCAGTGCTCAGGAGCACAGACGGTGGGGTGCGCGAGCCGAGGCAGGCCGCATCGGGGACCGGCAGCCCCGCTCGGAGCATGCCATGAAGGGAGGAGGGCCCAATACCTCAGAAGACGTGTCCAGCTTGAGGGGGGGCTGCTCAGCCACGAAGCGCAGATGGGCCCGGACCTCCTCCTCGTCGCTCTCGTCGTAAGAGTCGTCGAGGTCGTAGTAGTATCCTGATGGCAAAGACAGCTGGGTCAGCAGGCAGGGAGCCTGGCCTCTCCAGCCAGTGCGCACCCGGGACATGAGGGTCACCACCCAGCATCGGGCTGCGTGCCCCCGGCCCCATGAAGCATCTTGAAGGTGGCTCCTTTCAACCTGGCAGGACTAAGCCCCAGGTCAGCAATGACTGGCTTCCCTGGGCCCCACCAGCAGGGGACCACCCACTGCCGCGCCCGGTGTCCACGGCAACCCCACACTGCCGGTGCACACGTGTTCCCAGGCGGGGATGGGCAGAGAGCAGCGGCAGAGCCCCTGCTCCTCTGTTAGGTGAGTAGGGGAGAAAACCCTGGTTAGGCCCCAAATCCAGCGTTGACAAGCACCTTAGGAAGACTCTGCTGTACCCCAGCTCACGTTAAGAGGAACCAAGTTTAACACCAGACAGGACCAGGGTTCCATGGAAGACACGAGGCTGGCCTGGAGCCCGCGGGGTCCTCACTAGTATCTGCTGACGAGTCTATCCCTCTACCTCCTGATGCAGGTGGAGGTGCAGGGGGCAGCCTCACATCTGGCCCTGCTCATGAAGGTGCCCGACATTGGCCTGGCCTGGGCAGTGCCAACTGAGCCCCTTACTCCCTGGCCACCTGCCTGCAACTGATACCAGGGCCCAGGCCTGCCTTGTTGCCCGCCTGCTCCCTTGTTAATGCTCAGCTATTAATATTTAAAGCCACCTTATTCGCCACGATCCATCACTTATTAATCGTGTGTGTCTGCAGCAGCCTCTACAGACTGGCTCTGATTTGCCTTTCTGGGATGAGGTGCACCCTGGCAGCCCAGGGTCTGCTCCCCCGCAGAGGCATCAGGCGCTACACAGAAGTCTGTGAACTTGCTGCCTGGGAGCCTGTTAAACCCTGCCCTGGAAGTGGGGAGGAGTGGCAGCCAGCATCAGGGTCCCTTATCCTGCCACAATCCCCTTTCCATGGAGGTCAAGGCCATCCAAGGGACCGGACCTTTCTCCTGGGCCTCACGCCGCCTGCGCTCCTCCAAGTCCAGCTTGCTGACCAGCCTCCGGCGCTGCTGCAGGACCTCATCATAGATGTAGGCAGGGTCAGGGCCCCGCGATGCTGGGTGCCGGTAGGGTGAGCCAGGCTTCAGGGGCACACTGAGCTCCCCAAAGGAAGTTGCTTGGGGGAGGGAGACCCGCTGCTGGCCCAGGAGGGTCTGTGTAGACTTCTCAAGCTCGGTGAGGAAGGGCCCAGGCCCGTGGGTGAAGACCGGCGGTTCCAGGCTTCCCGCTTCCCGCGCTGGTGGCTGGTACTTGTCCAGGGGGGCAGCCTCACGCTTCCGGGGCTCCTCTGCTTTCTCTGGGCAGTAGACGCGCTCCACCTTCACCAGTGGGACAGCGGCCGGGCGGCCGGGCTCAAACGCAGCCGGGTGGCTGTGCAGAGTGTGGCTTTCGGCCCGCCGTGTCTCCAGGGCATTGTCCATCAGAGACACTGGGTTCCAGAGGGCCGTGGGCACTGTGTGGTGCTGCGGCTTGGGAGAGATGAGAGGCGGCGGCCCGCCAAAGTGCTGTGGGGCCTCTCGGCTGCCCTGTTCAAGCCGGTTTGGTCCTGGCCTGGGGAGAGAGCAGATCAACCACCAGTCACAGGGCTGTAGGCGTGCCAGCACCCAGGACCTCTCCAGGCTTCCTGCAGGCCCTGAGCACACAGCCGGGGCTGGAGGAACAGGCGAGGGTGCTGCCTGCCTTTCCAGGCTGGGCCCTCACCTGTTTGTAGAACAGCTGGCAGCAGGTGAGTGCATCTGCCCGCCGGGACAGGGCGGCCCAGAGCTAAGCTGCTGGTGAGGCTGCAGCGCCCCCTTGGGTCATATCTGCCTGCGCACCCAGACCCCGAGAGGACAAGCGCCCAGCCTGTGTTCCTCGCTGAAGGTACGGCCCTGCCACCAGCCCTTCCTCCAAGGGACAGTGCTGGAAAGCACCACTCCTGTCCCCGCTGTCCTCAGGGCAGTGTGCCAGACAGGAGCTTCCAGGATCTGCCCAGCCTAGAGCCCAACCCACAGAAGACCCTCACGTGGGATGTGGCCTGTGCCCCTGCTGCCCCTCCACAGTCCCCGTCAGAACTGCGGTGACCCAGAGCAGCAGCTACACGCAAGGGTGTGGGCAGGAGGGCACTCGGGATCTAACCTGGGGACTCTTCAGGAAGCTCTGCCACGCCACTCCACCACACACAATTTCCTCACTGCATTTCAAACAAAAGGCAACCCCCGAAGGACTATTTCAGGTATTGTTTCCCCAGAGCTATTTTTTTTTGAGGCAGCTGAATAGGACTTTGGGACCCATGCTGCTCAGCAATCCAGGGCAGGACTGCAGGAAGGAAGGATGGACAGAGGCTCAGCATGCTGGGCCAGTGCTAAAGGAGCGCCACACCTGGCTGGCTACCAGGCCTACAGCCGTGAAGGCTGCTTCGAGTCACTGCAGACTCACAGCCAGGAGCCCAGCTCCACCAGCAACGGAGCACAACAGGAGCAGCACCAGAAACTGTCCTCAGGCGAGCGGCAGAGGAGACACTCAGCAGAGTAAACACCTCACACGCCAGAGCCAAGCACTGCACGGCTTTCCTTCCAGCTGAGAACACAAGGCCCTGTCAGAATGTCCCGTTCCTGAGGTATACAGCCACGTCCCCCGGCCCAGGTGGCCACCCTGGCCGGAAGCAGCAGCAGCACAGGTGTGGGCCAGCCTGATACCTGCTTGGTGTTCCAGGCAGCTAGAGGAGGAAGACACCCAAGCAGCCCAGCACAGGTTTTCCCAGGAGACGCTGGGTAGGCACTGGTGAGGGGTCAGTGGGCAGCTCAGGAGCCACTGAAGCCAAGCCCTCGTAAGGCCGCAGCTGCCCAAGAGGCAGAGGGACAGTGTGGCACAGGGGATGCCACTCGAGCTGTGCGAGGCAGCTGGTAGGCCAGGCCAAGTGCCTCCCACACACGGCCCATGAGCTCCGCTAATCCCTTCACGGAGGAGCAGCCAGGGAGCGCGTGTCCCGGCCCCAGGGCTTCCCAAGGTGGACAGCACCCAACGACAATGACTGTGAAGACCCTAGGAATCTTCCTGCCTCCTCCTCGACACCGAGGAGACTGAGGCCCAGGACAGGGCTGGCCAGAGCAGAGCTCCCGAGGCCTGGCCTCCAGAATCAGGGTGGAAGAGTGCTGCTCCTGGGGGGACGCCAATGCAGGCGGGAACAGAGACGCCGCAAGGCCAGTGTCAAGAGCCAGGAGCGCCAGGGAAAGGCAGGGGCCTGCCGGGAACCAGTCCACACCAGGGCTGAGAAAGGACTGCAGCTTCATTATTAGTACTATTTTTCTGAGATGGGATCTTGCAGTGTAGTCCAGGCCAGTTGGAACTTTCAGCACCTGTCTATCTTAGCACCTCCTCTTATCTCAGCCTCCCACGTGCGGGGAACACAGGTGAGCACCTCCGTGCCTGGCTTGCTTATGTAAAGAGCAACAAAAGCTCATTTTTTTTTTCTTAAATTAAAATTAAAAGCAGTGCCTCTCTCTCAATTAAAAAATAAAAAACAACCCAGGCTGAAAACCTGAAAGTGGAACAAACAAGGATTATGTCACTAAGCCTTCCAGCCCAGCACCTTGGGTGCCACCCGCCGTCCAATGGGGTCTCTGCCGGCCCTGGCTGGGGGCTGCTCCCCATGGACGGGGTTTCCCAGCTTCCTCACAGGCAAGCCCGGAGTACAATGGGAGAGGAGGGGCAGCCGCAGAGGCGCAGACACTGGGGAGGGCGTTAGGCCAATGGGAAGAGGCCCACCTGCTGCTCTCGGGCCTGTGCTCCTCCACGGGCGCTGGGGCCCGGCCCATGTCCAGGTGCTGCTCCAGCACCTGCTGCCGGAACTCCGACACCTGGGACTGCCGGTCCTCCTTCTCCTGCCGCAGCCGCCGCTGCCGCGCCAGCCACTTCTCCTCCTCGTTGGTACGCTGCATCAGCAGGCTCGCGGCGGCGCTGCCTGCCGGCAGGGAGAAGATGCCATGGCTGGAGATGAGGTTGGGCATGGTGTGATGCGGCGCGGGCACCGGGTGCAAGGGGTGCTGCACAGGCTTAGGCGCCTGCAGGCCCACATCCTTCAGCTTCTCTGTGGAGAGAAACACGGTCACTGCCAGTGCAGGGCCAGCCCCTGGCCACATCCACAGGAGCAGCCGCCCTTGACAAGGCCCTACCCCCGCCAGAGCCAAGGGCAGCAGAGGCCATGTCTGCCCCAGAGCACGTACGGTGAGCGCTCTGGCTGACAGGCCCAGTGTGCACCCGCTCAGAAGGGCAGACTTCCGTTTCAGGAACTGTGAGAGCCAAGCTGGTGGTTACACACAGCTGTTACAGAAAGCTGGTGGTGTGGGCTGCATGCCTGTGGTCCAGGCACTCAGGAGACTGAGGCAGGGGGATTGCCACAAGTTTGAGGCCACCCTGGGCTACACAGTGGGCTCGGCTGCCAGGTACCTGCTCGAGTCGGTGTCAGCTGCTCAGAGGGCTTGACCCGCTCCTCAGCGGTGTGGCCACGCAGCCCTTGCAGCTCGGCTACCGGCAGGAAGGCAGGCTCCAGCGCCTTGGCGGCCAGCAGCTCCTTCTCCCGGGCCCGCTGCTCCCGCTGGCGCTCCAGCTCCCGCTCCCGCTCCTTCTCCCGCTCGCGCTCCAGCTCCTTCTCCCGCTCACGCTCCTTCTCGCGCTCCCGCTCCTTCTCCCGCTCGCGGTCAGCCTCCCGCTCCCGCTCCCGCCGCAGTTCCTCGTCCATCTGCAGCCTGCTGGGCAACGGGGAGGGCTCAGGTCCCCCATGCGAATGGGGTGAGGCCCCCGGGGGCCCCCACGCTCATCTGAGTGGGGACGGGCATAAGCCGGGCTTATATGTCCTCTCCCTAACGGGTGAAGTCCACCGGACCCAAACAGGTATGTGCAGAAGCCCCACGCACCCAAGATCTTAGGGTCCACACTGCCACTGTCCCACTTTACAGGTAAACAAACTGAGACAGGAGCGGCCGAGGAGCCCACTAGCCACAGAGCCACCAAGCCAGGGCCCACCCAGCCCTTCCCTCAGCAGCTGCCCCGGAACGGGACAAGGGATGGCTAGCCAGCCCAGGACTCGCTCACCTCTCCGCGCTGAGCCCCGACAACCGCTCTGAGTGCAGTGCGGCCAGCGACGCGTGAGAGAGCTCCGGCGGGTAGCGGACGCCGGAGAGGTGGAGGTGCATAGCCGAGGGGTGCAGCGGAGGCAGGGAGCCGGGGGTGGGGATCGGGTAGAAGGGAGACCTCAGGGCGGACAGGCAGTAGGAGTCATCCATCCTGTATGAGGGGAAGGGGCTGGTGGGCGCCAAAGTCACACACAGAGAGCGAACGGTCTCCTAGCGCTGGTTCCGCCCCAGCACCCCGCCCACCGCCCCCTCCCTTCAGCCAGGCTGCGCACACAGGCGCTCCTGGGGCTGACCAGGAGCGCCCAGCAGGCCGGGCTGACAGGCCATCCCCTACGGCAACCGGACTTCTACACTGAGCAAGGGCACCGTGTGACTTGTGGCGGTGCCTTGGCCCCAATCCAAGGAGCCCTGAACGGTGATGGCGGCGGGAAAGAGCCCGGGCAGCCGAGGAGGTGGAGCGGCCGGCAGCCCGGGCTGTCCTTGGGTCTGGCCAGCTCCTGAGAATCAGCCCCCACCGTCCAGAGTGGGGGGAGGCGCTCACCTGAAGGCGGGGTGTGGGAAGGGGTGGGGGGCCAGGTAGCTGGGGTGGTAGTAGGCTGCGGCGGTGGCCGGGTCCAGGCTGAGCGGGGGCAAGGAGGACACGCGCAGGTCCTCCGTGGTGTGGTAGGGCCGGAAGCTTCTCAGGTAGTCCTCGGTCACCGTGCTGGGGGGCACCACGTGATGCACAGGCCGCTGGAGGCTGCAGGTCAGGACAGCGGGCGGCAAAGTGACAGGTGAGCAGAGAGCCTGTCTGGGCCAGGAAACGGGGTCACCCCCGCACTCCCCCAAGCTATCGGGAAGGCTCCCTGCTGCCTCCCTCCAGCACCAGTCCTGCTTCTCGCTAATGAGATGCAGCCCTGGCGGGAGGCCCAGGACAAACCAAGGCAGCTGCTGCCCCTCTGGCTTGCCTGGCCCCCAGGTCCTCACCAGTGGGCACAGCTGCTCCCCTTGGCCTGGGAAGACTCAAGGGCCCCAGAACCCAAGGACAGGGTTAGGAGGGGCTGGAGCAAACGACAGTGTGAAGGGGACAGCAGCCCGAGCCCAGAGCCTTCGGTGGCTCGGGCTGCCTTGAGGACGGGCCCTTCCCGGCCCCCACCGGGGCACTTACTTGAGTGGTGGGAAGCGGGAATCCTGCATGACTGAGCTGGGGGACAGGCCGAAGGGGTATGGGGTGCTGAGGAGGTGGGAGGGGACAGCTGGGCCACCCGCCTTCTCCTGGGCAAGCGGCGGCTCCACGATGAGGCGCTCCCGACCGCTGCTGCTGCCCCGAGAGCCAGCATCCTGCTGGAGGACAAGCACAGGGTCAGGCCACACGCAGTGGCTGGAACAGCCAGCTCAGCCAGCAGCCGCCCAAGATGGGCGCCCTGCAGAAACGTGCTTTGTAGAAGGTTCTCCTCCTGAGGCACAGAACACACTGTAGCAGGAGCAGGAAGAGGGTGGGCACAGCCTCTGAGAGACAGGTCTGGAGTTGCAGCCATGTGGGGCCTCCTCCCCCACACCTCAAAGGCCTCCCCGAGGCAGAGGTGACCAGGAGCTGCCCTCCGACCCCAGGCCACCCAGGTGCATGTGCACATGACAGGACACGCAGCAAGGACGCCTGGCTGCTTCCAACAGCCATGGTGTAGATGGAAGTCGTGTCACACCTACTCCGGGGGCCCAGACGCCATCAGCTCCACCCAACACCCAGGAAGGGAGCTGGCACCACAGCCAAGGTGGTCAGTTGTGCTCCAGGGTGCACACCCAACTCTGCCACCCTGAGCCACAGAACACCCAACGCCCAAGCCGGCTGTGTCCTTGCAGAGCCAGCAGGAACGTGCCTGCCGTGGGGTGGGCACGGGGGAGCAGTGAGGCCCCACCTGCCTGGCCGGCTGGCTGGTGTGGGCAGTGACGGGCACCGCCACAGCGCCCTCCTGGCTGCCCGATCCCATAGGTGCAGAGCCCGTCACGCGCTCCCCTACCGCCCTTGCGCTTCGGAAGACAGCCAGCAGCAGCTAATTGAAGGAGACAAGCTGCTGACGGGGACGCTTAATGAGGAGCGGCATCTGCTCCCTTCCCTCGCGCACAGCGGGGTCCCTGCAGGTTCATGACCTCTGACCCCCCCTTCCCTGGGGGGTGATCACATGGTGTCTCAAGGGAGGGACACACAAGTGCCCACCAAGCCCCAGCCCAGGGGTCTTCCAGTTGCCAGGGATGGCAGCAGGGTGGACTCTGGCTTAGCCTTAGGAGACAGGGTCCTGTCCAGTGGGCCCCCACCAGAGCCCCACACAGGCCTGTAACTGCCCTGTGCCTCAGTTTCCCCATCTGTCAACATGCCCACGGTAGCCCTGGCTCCCTCCCACTGCAGTAAATAGGGCCAAGCACGAGCCTGAACAGGGGTCTCGCACACAGGGGCCCCCAGGCTCACCCCTTCACCTCTCCTCTGGCTCTCTGTCTATACCACCACCCTTGGGGCTGCTCTCAGGTGGGGCTGGCCGGATTCTCCTGCACGCCCCTCACCAGGACCGGGCTGGCCCGAGTTCTGACAGAGCGAGGAAGGATGCTGCCCACCCGGGCTGAGCTGAACAGGAGCCAGCATGGCACCCCACGCTCTCTGGGATGGGGATGGGCCAGGGTCCCAGGAAGACTGTCCCATGGGCAGTGAGGCCAGGACAAGAGGGAGACAGTTGCCACCCTAGCCCCTGGTGACCAGCAACAGTCCTCGGAAGACAGAGCTCTATGCAAGGACAGTACTGGGACAGGCTCCCAGCACACAGGCCTGTCACCTGTCCCAGGGCCATGTACCACAGACACACCAGAGCAAGATGGCGCCAGGCCGCCCTGCTGTGCGGAGAGGCCTGCTCAGCACACCCTCAGCCCAGGCTGTCCCTGTCAGCCCCTTCTCCCCCAACTAGAGACAAAGGCCTGCTCGAAGGCAGCTGGGCCAGATGGCACCTCCCTGGCCTGGCTGAGGACAATCGGGGGGGGGGAGGCGGGGGAGCGGCCAGCGGGCAGGGCCGTGGGCTCCACAGGGCAGACCCACACGCCCGGCCTCTACTGGGCTGGAGCCTGGCCAAGCTTCGCCAGGCACCTGGGAACTAGGTCAGCAGGGAGGGCAGGAGGGCGTGGGGGCCAGCAGCGCCCCACGGGGCCAGGCGCAGGAGGCCACGGCGCCCCAGGCACCCCATGGCGGGGGCGGTCGGGTCTCACAGCCGCCCTGGCAGACAGGCGCGTCAGGGCGCATCTGCGGGCAGCTTGTTATTTCTGAGCAGCGGCTGCAGGAGCAGCTGCGGCGATGAAAGGGGGAAGGAGGAGGGGCAGGCGGAGGAAAATCCGTCATCCTCTGGTGATTAGAGAGAGGTCTCTGCAGTCAGACAGGCGGGACATGCCCTGTTAGCTTCCAAATGGACGATTTTTCATTTCATCTCTCCTCCCTGCTCCCACCGCCGGGAGACACTGTGACCCCAGAAAGAGCCCGGAGCCATTGGCCCCCGACTCCCTGCCCGCATCTGCAGCCCCGGGAGGCCCCGGTGACTCAGCCACTGAGGGAGGGCGCCTCTCCCCGCAAGGATTAATTCTCCCTGGAGCCTCTCTCCCTGCTCACGCTGGCGAGGCCCACATCTGCTGTCCCCGCCGCCCTCCCCGAGGCAGGAACTCATTATCTGACGCAGGGCCAGCCCCGCGGCCCCTCCCTCAGGGTCACTCTATGTCTCTGTGGCAACAGGGACCCTCAGAGAAGAGTGACAGGCTCAGGAGGAGGAGGTGTGTGGGCAACACCAACGGAGCCTCCCAGGGACAGGGGACACTCACAGGGTGTCCAGCCAAGGCAGGGACAGGAAGTGACCTGCAGCTGCTCAGGCTGGGGCAGAGCCAGCCTGTGGCAGCTATGCCAGGTGATCAGGGTCCCTCAGGATGGGGCTGACCCTTGGGGGAGGAGGAGCCTGGTGACAATGCCCTTAAGCCAGGACTGGCCTGCCGAAGCCTGTTCCAGTCCCCTGGGGATGTGGTGCCAGGCCTGCCCTGTCCCCGCTCCACACTGCACACAGGGCAGGGCACAGCAAGACATACAGGCTCCCTGGGCAAGTGTGTTGCCTCAGCCACAGAAGATGGCAGTGGACGACGAGTCAGGACCCCGGGGGTCCAGGAAGCCCAGAGTCTCAGCTGCGTGCCCCGGGCACCCCCACCCTGGATGAACCCTGCACAGGAGGGTAGGGTGTGTTGTGAACTGACAGTGACAGCCGCGGATGCCCACGCCACCTGGCAGGGGCACAGAGGGCCGCTAGCCTCCCTGCTGCTCCCGAGATGCCTTTGTGGGTTAATTAGTGTCTATAAGCAGTGCCTTCCCCCTGGGACTCAGCAGAAGCTCCCAGAGGAACCCAGGTTGACAGTGGCTCTTAACAAGCACGGTGGGGGACAGGGGGTGGGAAGGGCCCCCCCAGGCACCGAGGGCCAGTGACCAGCGCAGCAGCTGCCCACACACGAGGACCCTGGGAGACACGCAGACCACAAGGAACCGCTGCGGCCCATGCCCCACGCTCGTCCCGTAACCCAGCAGCAGCAGCAGCAGCAGCAGCAACAGCAAGACGGGGTGTTACGCACAACTTGTGCAACGTGCAAACACCGCCGCAAATGTCTTGCAGAGCACCACAGATGGCACGTGCCCCAGGGTGTCCGCACTTGCTGACCGGCTGTCGGGAGGTGACTGAGGGGACACAGCACTAGGGCCCAGACCCGCTCTGCAGGGCCAGGGTCCTCAAAAGAAGAGATCATGACACAGACACTAGGGGACACCACAGGAGGACACAGTGAAGGCGTGTGTGCAAGCTGAGGAGAGAGGTGGGGCGGGGGGACCAGCTCTGCCCACAGCCATCTTGGGTGCCCCTCCCACTGCCGGAGGAGTCTGTCCCTGAAGCCACACAGCTTGTGGGTGCCACATCTGCACCCACTCTGCAGCTCGGACCCAACCTCAAGAGCCCCAGAGCCAAGGGAAGTCCAGCGTCCTGCCCTTGCCGGACGCCACCTGCCCCACAACTGCCTGGCCCAGGGTCACTCACCTGGCGGCTCTCGCTCCTCCAGACTCCATTGACGGTTTTAGTGGGGGCGATAGTCACCACGGGGGGCGTGCTGGGGACGCTGTGGCCCCCAGGGGGGACGATGATGGGGCCCATGGCCACGCGCTTGGGTGTGCTGGCGGGGGAGCTGTGGTTGGTGGCCGGAGAGGACACAGGAGATGACTCACTGCTCAGCGAGGACCCTGCGGGAGAGAACACAGGCTGAGCTGAGCCGCAGGCCCAGGCTGCGCTCCGGCCTCTGGTGCTCCCGGCCCCAAAGCAACTCCGACGTCAGCCCCCACACCTGCAGGCAGGCAGGAGCCCAGGACGCGCCCTCCAGGCCTCATCTGCCTGGGCAGCTAGAGGTGGGGCTGGCCTCCCTGCTCCTCAGGCTGCAGGCCCAGCCACCAGGGCGCCAAGCACGAGAAGCTCCACTGCGGCCTAGCTGGAGGACAGGAAGCCCCGGGCAGCACAGCGCACCCCGGAGTTTCCAGCCGCAGCTGCCACTGTGATGTGACGGTCACCGTCCCCCACGCCAGACCCCCTGGAGGGGCTGGGCTGGGAACAGGACCCTGAGGCAAACAGGAAGACCCTGCGTGTCCTGGTGCCATCAGATGGGACAGGGGCAGAAGGCCAAGTCCATCCGCCCAGGGAGGACCTGAGAGAGGCTTCCACAGCCCTATCAACTTCCAACTGTGCAGCCTGGAAAGTGACCCCCCGTCTACAAGCACGCAAGCCAGGGGGCTTTGATGCATTCACTGCACTGGGAACAACACTGACTGCATTTCCAGAACCCTCTCTCTGCTCCGGAAAGTAGCAGCAGGCAGCTGGGTTCCTGGGGTTCTTGCCAACAGGCGAGAGCAGGAGTAGGGTCAAACTGTGACCAGGAGGCAGAGGCCAGGGCATCCCGGGTCGACAAAAGGTGTCCCTGGGTGGGTAGCTGTGCCCACTCGGTGGGCCTCCCAGGGGTAGGGTCCTAGTGCCCCAACCTCTTTCATGGTGCTCCCGCGGCTGGTGTGCAGCTCGCTCAACTGTACAGGGCAGCCCTATAGGGAGCTCTGCCCCAACCCGGGTGCCCGGTAGCACGCTGTGTGCAAACCTTACACAGCACCACGTTCACACTCCCAGCGCACCTGAGGCAGAGGCCCAATTCCCTCAGCTGCCCACACCCTAAGAATCCCGGAGCCCCAAGGCCACGTGGGCCCAGCACCGCGGAGGGGAGAGCCTTGTCCTGGACGCCAAGGGAGCACCTGCAGCCATGGGGAGCACAGGAGGAGCCAGTGGCCCGAACAGGCCTCTCCCGGGGACAGCATCCATCGTGCTGCCCTCCCTGGCCCAGTGTTATGGTTTGTGTGTGGGTGTCCCCCCAAAGCCTCATGGGGTCATGGAGCAGGCTTTTATAGTTTGACTGATTATGGGTGTGCGAGCTACACCCGCCCTGGGGTGGACAGTTTGCATATGTAAGGGACAGCAAGAGGCTGCTTGCGGCCATTCCTCCTTTTTGTGCTTGTTGCTTTGCTGTGTTCTGCCGCCATGAGCTGTAGCCCTCTGCCATGTGCCGCTCTGCCTTGTAACCTGCCAAGTATGGACTAAAACCTCCACAAACTGTAAGCAAAATAAACCTTTCCTTCCTTAATTGTGGGTGTCAGGTATTTTGTCCCAGCAATGAGAAAAGACACCCAGCCAGCCACACCCAGCTCGGGTTCGCACACACCGAGACCAAGATGAGGGCTGGAGATCATTACAGCCACGCCCAGAAGGCCCCCGCGGCCATCAGCAGAAGGAAGGAGCCAGGGCACAACTGCACAAAGCCATCCGAGAGCCAGGGACAAACGCACACGGACTCTGGCCTCCTTGGTCAGAAAGACACAAACCCATGGACTGGTTTAAATTCAGACCCACGGCGCTGGGGGCGAGGTGCCCAGGAGGGCAGCCTTGGGCCAGCTCTGCGCAGTCAGTGTTCTGAGACAAACATGTCTTTAGGTTAAATCTTGGAAAACAACAATAATAAAGAAAACATCTTCCTTTAAATTTTTTTTTTAAAAACCCAAGAAAGGTGCCTGTGCCCTCAGGTCCTCTGCGATGTTTGGTTCACCCCTGGCACTGCCATGACCCAGGAAAGTCCATGCTCTGGAGTGGCCTCTTGCCAAGTGCCCGGGCCCAAACCATGCAAGCGGCACCCAGTTGCGCCACGGCCGCAAGGCCTCCATCCCACTCGTGGCTGGACCCTCCCTTGACAGCACCCTGTGCCTCGACCTTGGGACACCCTGGGGGGAGAGTGGCACTTGGTGGCTACTGCTGCCCAGTAAGGCCAGGGTCCCCGCCTCAGTGCTGGGGTCAGGGGAGGGGTGTTGCACATATGCCCTAGAGCTGGAAGGGAGAAAAAATGCACACTGGCGCCCTGTGTCCAAAGGCTGAGTGGGCTCAGGGCCTCCCAGGGGACCTGTCCCCATCTTTGTGTACCCGAGGGACCCCCAGCCCTGCCTGCAAGGAGCTAAGGCGGCTGCCAGGGCTGGGCGTGATGCCCCATTGCTCTAAGCGCCTCACTGGAGCCAGGAAGGAGCCGGGCAGCACGTCAGGGCAGGGCCTGGGCAGGGGCGAAGGAGGGAGGCCACCGACAATCAGCGGCTTGATCCCTGGTGTGTGGGGGGCTCCTCACCAACACGAGCAGTGGCGATCGATACCCCAACGGCGCGCTGCCAATTAGCGAGGCTGGCGCCCGGCGCCCGGCCCTCCTCCTCACCGCTCAGCTGGAGCAGGAAGGTTCGCGATCCCTGTAATTAACTGGCGGTATTCAGCCAGGAGTTAGTCAATGAGTCGGAGTGGATTGCTGATGACAAGAAGCAGAGCGTGTCCCGTCACCTCTGCCGTCCGACCTCGCAGATTAGCGCTGAGCCTGCCGGCACCCGTAATTAACAGCTGCGGCCCCAAGTCAGCCCTCGGAGAGAGCGGGATGGGGACGGAGCGGCAGGGTTCCGGCAGCACCTGCCAGCTCGCACAGACGCATGCTTAACCGGCCAGGTCAGCAACTGCTGGGCACCAAGTGCATGCGCTGTGCCGGGCCGTGGGACCCTGCTGGGCCACGGGGGCGGCAGAGACAGCGAGCCTGAGAGACGGCACAGACGGGCAAGACCAGACTCCACGGCTGGGGCTTAGGCAGCACCTTCCGCACCCTGGGGCCTACCCTGCCTCAGGGCAGTGAGAAACAACTCTGATGAGCTTCCCCAGAGAGACCCCGGCACCCGCCATCCATCCCTGCACGGTGCTACAGGTGGGGACAGATCAGTGGGGGATCCAGCAACAGGTTCTTGGCTAGCCAGGTGCTGGCACCAGGGCCAGTGAGAGGTCTGGGATGCCTGGCCTGCTCCCCAAGGGCACAGCCTGTCACGTCTCTCCTGTACCCAGGTCCACCCTTCTCTCTAGCAATGGGGACAGCGAGCATGTGCCCCCACACACACACGAGGCGGAGGAAGGGGCTCACCACACAGCCACACGCCCGGCCCACAGGTCCCCCAGCAAGAATGCCTGGGCCCTGCCTCCCACCTCGAGCCCCCACACTGCGTCCTCCTGGGCTGGGGTGGGGGTCCTGCTGGGTTGTGGGGAGGCTCCATGGGGCCTCCCAGAGGGCCCTGCAGTTGCAGGATGCAGGATGCCACCGGCCAGCGAGCGAATGACCAGGAGGACAGAAGCAGGTCGCCCCAGGCCTGGCCCAGCCTCTTTTCCCTGTGAGGTACTGAATGGCGCGTGACAATGGCCCGAGGACATGCCAGCCCGCCCAGGGTGCGCTGGGAAGCACACACAGCACATGGCATTGGGGGCTGAGGTCCCCGGTAAGCACCAGCTGATGAGGACAGGGCGGGGAAGTCCTCAGGAGTTCCCACAGGCCTGGGCACAGCAGGGACAGCTGGGCAGTGCAGTGCCAAGGTCACTGTCTGCCACAACCTGTGGGTTTGGGGCATGCTGGCCAACATGGAGCTCAGTGGCCACCGTATGTGCTCAGCCGGGCCTGGCCCCACTGCCCAGCAGCAGGGTGAGGGAGGCGGGCGCACAGGCTGGGCTGGGGTCCCATGCCCACACAGCCAAGGCCAGTCCTGGACACGTTTCTCAGGGCCAATCATCGGCTGGAGAACAAGAGGTACCACGCAGAGCACAGAGCACAGGCTGGGGCTCAGGAGCCAGCGTGGGTCCCCAGGGGCCGGGCAGACACTGCGTGCTGGGGGCTCGTGGAGCAAGGAGGGGGGAATGGCCAATGGCAGTGGTGCCGCGGGGAGGGCATCCCCTATGTGGAGCCCTGGGTGGGCCTCACTCGGCCCCTTGCTGGGTCCATGCTGCTTTCCGGGGGTCCCCACCTCTGGGCCCACTGCCTCCCACATCCCAGACCCTGGAGACAGAAATGCCAAGGACGCCTGCCTGGCTCACACCTGTGCTTCAGGACAGATGGGGCTCCAGACACTGCCAGGAGACGCCTGCGCCCCACCAGCCGCACGGTACATGCACGAGGCTGCCGTGCCAGGTGGGGACGCCCCCACGCATGTGCTGCTGTTTTCTTTGAAAGAGGCGGATTTCCGAGGTGGGCGGTGGCAGAACAGCCCTACCAGGCCCAACCCGTGGGTGACACCTCGCCTGAGCACACGCAATGCGCCCAGCCTCTATGCTCGGGCCAGGGTCTCAGCTTCTAGCACAGAGGACCTGGCGGTAACCGGACCCGCCAGCCCTCTCACCTGCAAAGCCTGTGACAAGACGGGGCAGGCAGCCAGCGGATGCCACTGAAGGGAGCGGGCGGAAACTGGCGTGCAGTGCCCACCACCAGTGCCGCCCTCATGAGCCCTGTCCCTCTAGCGCCGGCAAGGCTGTAAAGGGTGTGACCACTGGTTCACAGGCGCTAACAGCGCCAGTGATCAGGGAAGCCACCATTCCAAGGAGGCCACCCAGCTGTCCATGCGGCACCCAGGCCCTGTGGCTGGCCTATAGGAGCCAGAGATGCCTGCGAGCGGCCGGGGCAAGCGTGGACAGCTGCACCCATCCCTGTCCTGGCCATCGCCCCAGGACCGAGAGGCACACAGCCCTGGTGTCGCGTGGGCTAAGAATGCCGAGGGCTCCAGGCTGCCGCTCCGCCTTCAGCAGACGGGCGCCGCGTCCCCGAGGAGACAGCAGATTGCCACACAGCTTGAGCCTCGCCTGGCACAGCCCGGCGCCGTCACGCACAGACGGGGGCGGCTGGGACTCTGTGAGGGCTCTGGGGAAGGAGCGACTCCAGGAGGCCCTGGCTGGGGTGGGCACCCAGGTCCGCCCGGTGGGAAGGGCCCAGGGGCCAGGCTGGTGGCTTGAGGTGTGGGGGATCCCGGAGCCCCAGGGGCACCCACGGCCTGTTGCAGGGCTGAGGCTGCTGGACACCTTGGGGACCAGAGCTAAGGGGCAGGCCAGGAGACTCGGGCCGAAGCCTGGTGCCGGCCGGGGGCGGGTGGGGCGCATGCAACATTCTTGCAGGGGGGGTGGGGTGGGGACAAGGACGACACACTCCCAGAATGGGCCCAGGCACCAGGAACTGTGCTCAGAAGGGGTGTCACTCCAAGGCGAGGAGAGGCTGGGCCTGCCCAGGGGACGCCCCCAGTGCCCACAGTGACAGCAGGGGGCTGCAGCAGTCAAGGACACACAGAATGCAGCCAGGCCAGGACACAGCCTGGTGACACCGCAGCTCCGGTGGGCCCACAGCCTGAGGCTCCTTCCAGAAGGTTCCGTGCAGGCTTGGGTACCCTGTGCCACCCAGGGAATGAAGATGGGCATGGGGAGGCCCAGAGGCCACGCACCCCTTACCAGGGACAGACAACGCGGCACGCTCAGGGCAGGTCACCAGGAGGGGATGCAGGGAAGAACTACGGCCACGTGAGGGGCCCCGGCCCCACGACCTCCATCTGCCCTCACGACCCTGAGCCAAGTGGTGACCAGAGCAGCAGCTCAGCGCCCGGCCACACAGCACACGCAGCGCCCACCTGCCCAGCCAGGTCCTCTCCTCCGCCCCCTTTCTCTCAGGCAGTGCGAGTGAGATGGCACGGGCGCTTTGTCTGAATTGAATTTTTAAAATGGACCCTCAGGACGTGAAAAGGGATGTTAGCCAAAGCAGCGGAGGCGACGTGGACAGAGGAATGAAATAAGACGCCACCTCCAACACCAGCACGGGGCGGGAAGGCTGAGCAAGGAAAGGTGCGTGGTGTGAGACATCGGAGCCCACAGAGGGGACCCGGGGCTGGGGCCCTGCGAGCAGGAAGCCACGGGGATGCCCGACTGTGGATGCCCGACTGTGGGTGCCCTGCTGCACGCCCTCGTGGTCCCTGAGGCCACGGACAGTAAGGACAGTCGGCTCAGACGTCCGCTGAGGCCAGGGCCTAGGAAGACACACCGTACCAGCGCCAGCCCCAGCCCCAGCCCCAGCGAAGACGGTTGGGTCAGGCAGACCCAGGACCTGGAAGTGGGGTGCTACGGCCTGGGCTGGGCAGGGTGTGCCATTCTGGGTCCAATACGACCACTCAACTGTGTGCCTACAGGGCGAACTTTTATGGCGTGTGAACTCTAAGAAGACTTAAAAATGAAATGTCCAGCCAGATAGCATTGGGAGGCTGAGGCAGGAGGATTACAAGTGCAAGGTCAGCCGGACAACTTAGATCCCCGAAGGGTGGGAGGCAGGGATGCACCTCCTGAATTAAGCCCCCAGAACAGTAAAAACAAAAAGGCCGGGTTCCCCCTCACCAAGACTGTGCCACACAGTCCTCTCCTGCCAGAGGTTCACCTGTGGGGACACGGGACGCCCTGCCGGCCACGGGTGCCTGTCCCCAGGCTCTGCAGGCTTCCAGAGGCCGCAGCCACGCCTACCCAGCAGGCCCTGCACACGGTGGGAGGCGCTGGGTCCCCAGCGTGCCCAAGGGCTCTGCCTCAGCACTTCCACCCACACCTTGGCCAGCTCAGGGCTGTGCGCTGGCCTCACCGAAGGGGTGGCAAGGGCCACGCCAGGGAGGCCGAGGAAAAGGGCCTGGGGTGTGGCCAAGAAGGTGCTGGGGAGAGGACTGAGGTCTGCCCCAGTGACAGCAGCCCAGGCTGGCTAAGGCTGCTCACCGGAGCACAAGCGGTCAGTGCGCCTCAGGCTCTGCCTGCGGCCACCAGGAAGCCCACCAGACCCTGAGTGTCAGCGTCAGAGCGTCCCATGTCCCCTGTTGCTTGTATCTCCTGAGCGGAGCCCTCATCAGCCACTCCCAACTCTTTGCCACCAAGCCCCTGGCACTACAGCACCCAGGCCACAGCATGAAGGAGCCCCAGGCCCACTGAGGCATGCTCTACTTCTGCCAGCAAGGGCCCTTGGCCTCTGCACCACAGCGGCCTGCTGCCCACCTCTGGAGCCAGCCACGGGGCCCTGCCGCAGCCTGTGCCATCAGCCACACAGGAGTGCTCCAACCGCCACAGCCGCCGCCTCCAGGGAGACCTGCGCCACACAGCCACCTCCCGGGACTTGCGGAACCTGTGCAGACCTGTCCCTCCTGCATGCTGGCCAGGAGCCGGTGCCAGCCCCGCCCCTCACAGGCCCCAAGCTCCTCTTCCCGCCGAGCTCTGGCCCTACAGCGGGTGCCTGCAGCCACCTGCAGCCAGGTGCAGGCAGGGCACCGCCTCCTCAGACCCGGCTGCTCCTTGGCTGCCCTGGAGGGGCCAGTTGGCAGAGACAAGGCCCACCAGCCTTCCCAGGCCACTGTGCCTCGGCAGGCCGGGCAGCAAGCAGGAGCTGGGGCAGACGGAGAAGCCAGAAGGAACATCCCTGGGTCAGGGCACCGTCCACTCCACAGAGCTGAGGGGACGGTGCTCCCTGCAGTCCTGGGACTGGGGCACTGAGCCCTGGCCTCCGGACAGGGCAGGTGGCAGGCAGAGGTTGCCAGGGCACCTGCATCCTCTGTCCCCTGCCTCTGAGCTGAGAGCCCTGGGGTGCTAAGGGGCCTGGCCAGAATCCACATGGCCCGGCAGCTGCAGCCACAAATCAATCACCTGACGGAGCAATCACCTGACGAACACCCAGGGCTGCCACAGCCATCGGGACCGGGAAGGGCTCCGGGCCAGAACAGGGAGGAGCCTGCGAGTCAGAGCCACAGCGACACCAGGAGCCCAGCATTAGACCCCAGGTCCTTCACCCATACCACAAGAAAAAGGCCCAGGGAAGCAGGCATCGGCGGGGTCACGCCCTGCCCCAGCTGGGGGCAGTGACACACCTGCAGCCAGGCCACCAGCTCCCGGCTGAGGGCCACCCCAGCATCACCTGGGGCGCCAGGGCAGGGATCAGGGCCCAGCAGGTGCCCCATGCACCCCATGGTGGCCTCCAGAGTGGGGAAGAGCAGAGAGAGGCAAAGCAAAGCAGGCTGGGCTCCAGGGGCAGGGAGCGTGCTTGCTCCTGTGCATGCAGCGCAGCTTTCGGGCGCAGCCGGCTGTTTCCCGTTGCGCACCTGCGGCCCATGGGGGGCTGTGCCTGGCCGGGTGGGGTGGGGCAGCGCAGGGCGCCCCACGCGCAGCCGCCGCGCGCCTCTTACCTCGGGGCTCCTCTGCCTGTTTGGCGAGCTTGCGCAGCGCAGCAGCAAAGCTGGAGGACGGCGCGGCCTGGGCCGACAGCGCGCTGCTGGTGGCCGGGCTGCCACTGGGCACCAGGGCGCCATTGAGCGGCGAGGGGGTGAGGGGGTTGACGGTGGCGGTGGTCCTGGTCGCGGTGGAAAGCATCCCTAGCGAAGGGGACTTGGGCTCATGGCTCATGCCTGAAACAGGAAGAGAAGAACCAGGGTCACCCAGAGTGGAGGGCGCAGCACCGCGGGAGCATGCAGGCGGGAGGGGGCGCAGAAGCGACACCGCCGGCACAGAGCACAGGCCTGTGCCCCGGAGCCCAGCCAGACCCTTGGCTCTGCACCCAGAGGGACGAGCCAGGGCCACGCGGACCGCAGAGGACACCCAAGTGTCTCCTAAGGAGCCCTTGACCAAGGGGCACCAGGAGGGACACAGAGGCCGCAGGCTCAGAACTCTCTCTCTCAGAACAAAAACCGCAGCCTTCCAGGGCCGTGGGGCCGCCCAGCCAGGGGCCCACAGCACAGCTGGCCGCCACACAGACCCCTGAGCAGGGCTGCCACTGCCCGCTCCCCATGTTGGAGAAAGAACTGCAAACCCAACATGTGCGGCTGGGGTTGGGGGCGCAACACAGCCACTGCCCACAGCCCGCCTTCTCAGGCCCCCACAACCGCATCTTCTACAGCCGTCCCCGCCCCGTGGGTGCACACTGGAGGTGAACCACAGCGGGGCGGGGCGGTCACACGAAGGGAGCGCACACTCGCGCCTCCACCCAGCTGCAAGCCCAGGCGGCACACGGGGGAGCGCGCTCCCCAGAGCCTCCCCACAGCCCAGCAGGCAGGGCTCCCGCGGAGGACCCGATGGCACAGGGCCCCCAAGACGTCCCTGGCCTGCCTGCGGCCCCCCGCCGTTCTGAGCAGGGAGAGTGCTCTTCAGGAGCGCTGCAGGAAACATTGCTGGGCGGGCGCAGCCAGAGCCGCCCTCCGCACAGGGCCCCACAGCGCCCACGGCGAGGCGCTGGCCTCCAGCTGTGGCAGGTCACGTGGACACAGGTCAAGGCCCAGGCAGCCGTGCAGCCACCCCACATCCTCCCTCCATGGCTCTGGAGGACAAGGCACAGGCATGGGACCCAGCGCACCCGGTGCGCCTCTCCCTACCCACGGGACCCCACCAGGCCAGGAGGAGGAGGTCACTCTGCCTCCGTGCCTCAGTTTCCTCCTCTGTAACACAGGGACAGTGGTGCTTCCCCATGAGGGGAGCCCGGGGTTAACCCACGGCCAGTCTGCCCTGACACAGAGCGAGACCCAAAGCGTCCGCTCCACTCCACACGCCCTCCTGGGGGCCGCAGCGCCCAGAAGTCACAGCCCAGCCCGGCCAGTGGCCCCCTACCCTGAGCAGATGCAGCAGCTGGCAAGGCTGACACACCGGTCACCAAGGAGGAGGACACAGCCCCACACCTCGGAGGACTGGCACCAGCATAAACCGGCAGGTCCTGGGGTCCCAACAAGGTGCCCGGGGCAACACAATGAGGGGCTGCAGGAAGACGAGTGAAGGGGACTGCGGAGCCACCCGCCTAGGAGACTACGCCCACACAAGCCAGCTGATCATCTCAGGACAGCCCTGCACCCATCAACAGATGAAGAAAGAAAATAAAGGCGTTTACACAACAGAGTACTACACTGCCGTTAACAAGCTTCAGTCGCCTGTAGGAAAATGGGTGCACCTCCAGGCCGCAATATTAAATGGAATAAACGAGACACATGAGCTTCACTAAAGCATCACCAAAGCACAACAAAAAAGCAAAATAAAAGACAGATATAGGAGTGGGAAGTGAGGAGACCAGGGCCTCTTGGTGCCCTGCTCCCCCAGAAGAATCAGATGATCATGTGTACTGCCAACACGGACTGTGGGATAAGAACAATGAAGACGACGATGCCCTCACACCGCCCACCCGCCTGTCCGCCCGCCCCTCCACCCCAGGCTGCAGGGCATCAACGGGGCACCAGGACCAGGCAGTGCTCAGGGCAGGCCCAGCGCTGTGCAGCCAACCATGCTGTGGACCAAGGACTTGAAGCCCCTGCCAGGTCAGGCCCTAGCTCCCCACAGCCCAAGGCTGCCGCAGTGACTCGGCGAAGCTGTACACACTCAGCGCAACGCGCCCAACTCTGATGGCTTCGCACACGCCCCTGCTGCTGCCCGTCACACGGCCTCTCCCGAGCAGGCTCCACACCTGGCACCTCTCTCTTTCTTTGTAGCGCTGGGGACTGGACCCAGGGCCTCTTTACAGATCTCTATCCTGAGCCTTTATTTTTTATTTTTATCACAAGACTGAATCTCACTTGGTTAGCCAGGCAGGATTTAAACATGCGATCCTCCCGCCTCAGCCTCCCAGTGATGGCATGTCAGGTATGTGCCACTGTGCCTGGCTACACCTCACTTCTAATAAAGAGGGGTGGCGTGGCTTCCAGGGTGGCCTGGGTTGCAAGAGCAGGTGGTGAGTAGAACTGTCGTTCAGAGGCAAGGTTCAGCTAGTAGCTGCCAGGAAGGTGACACTGCCCATGTCCCCAGACCCCAGATGCTGGGCACAGTCCTCCAAGGCCCGAGGCATGTTCCCACCCTACAGAGAAGGCTCATTGGTGAGGCCACCAGGTATAGGTCAGCTCGACCCATGCAACTGAAATGCCTTCACCCCCACCCCCGCCCAGAAGCCCGGGCAGCCTCTGGCCTGCCACATGGAGCTCTCCAGGGCGGATGGCAGCTGGGATCCAGGACAAGCCCAGGGCAGGACTTGTGTGATGCTGTCCCAGGTTCCCAAGCCCTGGTGCCTGCCCTGCCACCACACGGGCACTGCTGGGAGGCAGGGACTTGGGTGCTGTGGTCCCTTGCCCACTCTGGACGACCACCCACAGGCCTGGAAGAAGACAGGCAGGCTACTAGAGCACCAGGCCTTGGCACAAAGCAGGGACCACGGGTAGAGCTCAGGGACACCTCGTCCCAGGACAGGGCTGCACATGGGGCGGCAGTGGAGACCCCAGCCACTTCCTGTGCCCAAGGTCCTGCGGCCACATCCCCCTCTGCGCCCTCCCTGGCCATGGCCACCTCAAAGTCACTGCCACACTCCTGCGGGCATCCAAAGCCCAGCACCCCTCCTCATCCCTGGGGTCCCCCAGAACCCATCCCTGATGGTGCTGGCGCTCCCCGCCTGGGAAGCTGCACCGCTGATGTCAGGTCATTGGAAATAGAATCAAGCGCGGCTTCATTAGGGGAAGCTAAAATTAGCACTTCTCCTGCGCTGCAGGGCGGCCGGGACAGCAGCCCACAGACTGCTCCCACGAGGACAGATGGCCAGCCTTGGGGGACCCAGGGACCCCAGGAAGAGTCCTTGCCTCCCAGGGTAGATAGGGGGCGCCCCCACCCAGGCGGCCTCCCGCTGGGGCCATTGCAGGTGTCCAGGGTTGGTGGTGACCCAGGGGCAGCAGGCACAGGGCACTGCTCCCCTGCCCTCTGAAGGGAGGCATCTGTGAATTTGTGGCCCCCCACCACCCAGAGTCACCCTGGGGTCCTTTCTTTGTGACCAGCTCACATGAACTCATTATCCTAACAGCAAGGGACAAGTACAGCTCTTGAAGGCCAAGGCCAGCGACGGGTGAGGGCCGGGCAAGCTGTGGCCCAGGGGACCAGCCTGGGTCTGGGGACCTCCTGCTGGCAACCCTGCCCCCACCCCAAGGAGGGGCCATCTAGACACCCACAGGGCCTCAGCCCTGGGCACCCCCAAACTGGGGCCAGGGGGTGTCCCCCCTCAGCCTCAGTGCTCTGCTCCCTGAACCCACCCAGAGCCAGAGGGTGCAGAGTTGCTGGCACTGTGCCCGACAACTCCCGCCTGGTCACTGGGGACCCCCACCCCCGCTTCTGGGCCGGCCCCAGTGGACTTGCGCTCTTCTCTGCCTGGACTCTAATGCGGTCACTTCCAAGGCCACGCTCCGGAGTGGCAGGGTACAGTGGTGAGCCAGGCAGGAGCTACTGTCACGAGGCCACCTCGTCCCTGGACCTGCAGGAAGGATCCAGCACGGCTCCCTACTGTCCTAACGCTGGAGACAGTGGGACTGGGGGGTCCGCAGCCGTGTTAATCAGCGGCCCAAGCCCCCAGCCTCCTGCAGATCTCGTAATTACTGCTTCCTTTCATGCCTGCTCCCCGTGGCCTGCGCCCCGCCCTGCGCTGTAATTACGAGCTAATGGCTGAGATGAATCCGCTGCCATCCTGGATCAAGCACCAACCGGCCCCTCCCTCGGCAGCCCCCATAATTACACCCCTCGAGGGGGGCCCCGAGGGCAGGCCGCCTGCGCAGTCTGGACTCGACTCTTTAACCAGCCTTCCCCGGCCTTTCTCAGGATTGCAGAAACGTCTGTGAACAAATAAAGGGTGGCCCCTCCTCTCCCTCCTACCCTGATCCCCGGCCCCCCAAGAAGCGATGCTCCTGAAGCCCTAACAAGACTAGGGTCACCCCAATGCAGGACCGGATGGCTGCAGCAGCGTGGGGGCCACGTGATCCCCAGGGCCTCAGAGCTTCGTAATAAATTCATTATTATGTTTGCCTGAGGCCTGCGCTGAGCAAAGCCAGCTTCTGCGGGTGGGGGTGGGGAGGGGAAGGGAGGGGAGAGCAGCCAGGGCCTAGGGCTGTGGCTCCAGGCGCACCAGGAAGGCCCCCTAGAGACCCCAGGCTGCTGGCGTGCCCACATCACCCGCTCCAAGGCCAGTGCCCGAGGTTATGACCAGCAGCAGCTATCGGCCAGGGCAGGCGGAGCAGGTGGCCGGTCAGCCACTGACCGGAACAATGGGGTGGAGACCAAGCCAGCACTCTGGGAGACCCTGCCCTAGGAACCAAACAAGCACAAGGTGGCCGGGCTTTCAGGAGTGGTAGGAGTCCCCCAACAATGTGACACATCCGGGACACCCATGTCCAGCCCAGGGGCAGGACAGTGTTGGCCTCAGTCCTGCAGTGACCGGGAAGGGTCTTGGTCTGTCCCTGGCCTTCCCCGCGGCCAGGCAGCTGTGCCTAGGTCCCTGCCCAGCTGCGTTCTGTGCACGAACCTGGGTACAGTATCAGCAAAAGGCCCTTCGCAAGACCCGTCGGGACCCCAAAACTGAGACCCAGGTGCCCTGCCAGACCTGGCCACCGGGCACATGGTGGCCAGGGCA